ATAATTGAACAAAAAATGTCCCTCTGGTTTGTATTTGAGAAGTAAGAGCTCAGCACAGCTTTGGAGATCAAAGTGTAAATGTTGCTAGCCATCTCTGCTGATGGAGGCTCGCTGTATCGTTCACACATGAAAAAGGTTCACACAGCATACACTCAAAGAAACCATGGAAAGATTTAAAAGCCGTTTGGTTACGAAAATACATTCTGTAGGGTATAGCCTTGAAATAAACTTGAAGTCGAGTTACATTGATAAGATTCAGTCTCCCCATAAGATTATCCTCTGGCCAATCAATGCCATAAGTGCTGTGATCTTAAGGAGGATCGGAGACCCTCAGGGAAGTGATTCAGTTGTTGAAGAGTAAAGCTGGTTCCACTATTCTCACTATCCCACTTTTGAAAAGGTTATTGGTTGTGAATCATACTTTTACTTATTAATCTTTATCAATTAGATTAATGCTTTACAGTGATAGCTATGGAGAGACAACATTTGGGTGAAGAAAATAAAGTTGGGTTATGTTTTTGGAGACCTGGCTTTGTGTTAGTGTCCTTCAATCATCAAAAGTATCGTCCAAAGCAACATTTGGTCATATATCTTCATTAATAATAATAATAATAATAATAACTTTTATTTATATAGCGCTTTTCAATAACCCAAAGTCGCTTACAAAAACAATTAAAAGTACAGAAAGGGGATGAACAGGCAGAAGACAACATATTGGACAAGAAAATTGAACATTAAATAATGATAGGGCATCTGGAACATAAATGTACTTAGTAAGAACTCAGCTTTGCAACTACAGACATGATGGATTATAAATACAAGAACTCAAGCCTTCTTAAAGATGGCGGATATTCTAATAAGCTATCAAGTTAGCAGTTGTACCTTTGAGTTAGGGTTAGTAAAAAAAAGTCAAGACTTATAAATGTTACGGCTTATTAAAAAGTGCAACAACTAAGATGTAGCATTTAAACAAAAAAAATAATCTTTATGTATTCCTAAAGTCGCCCTATTGTGCTTTTGGGGTTTTTCCCTTTCGTGTGATAGATAGGTTTGTGTGCATGTAAATGATCTGCAAAGGCTAAAATCAAACATTTCACCCAAGAGGGGGTTTCTCTCCACCCACCCAAAATGGCTTAGACTCACACACAGATAGATATGTACAAACGCATGCATGTGGACTCAATCACCTACTTTTTCCATTAGCTGGTAACTCCCAGATGAATAAAACATAGCCAATGATTATGCTGCACCAATCAGATTCTAGCACACACACACATAAATGCGAACACACACACATACTGTACAACCATATCTATGGTAAGACATGAGAAACCAATTCCCCACGTGTAACACCCACCTATAGGTCAGGGATAATCATAAAAAGTAATTGGTACACACTCTTGAATATATTAGTGTTTGATTTGGCTTCCATTGAACTCCCACATATATTTGCTCTCTGGTGACCAGCTGAAAATATAGCGCAGTGTGTTCATCAAGATTTTTCTTTTCCCCCAGGTGTCCCAAAATGATTTCCCCATGGCAAAAAAAGTATAGACAATCATATATGAAGAGGGTCTTCTTTGTCTTCTCTAGATTTCATTTCTGACATTTTTTTCTCTTGCGATACTGTGAATTATGTTAACACGCACGATATGATAATAATTCATTGTCAGATTAAGTCTGAAATTTGACTTGAATCACAGCAGCATTTTCAAACACCAAACAAGAACAAATATTAAGACACGATACAAACTAACATTTAACATAACAATCACTGTGATGAATCATGATGATTCAAATATAAATATTGATCAAATGCAATGTTGAGTGCTGTTGATGATTAGTTGTGATTTTAACAATGCACTTAAATGCCAATATGGCTACCTTTCATAACCTTCTCCCCCTCTGAGTATTGGTTGTGTCCTCCTTAGAAATGAAAGCTATAGCAAGCTTCTTCAAGAAAGCACTTCAAACTTACAAAGGATGTGAAGAAAATGTAAGCAACAACAGCAAAAAGCTTTAAAGATATGAAAAACATGTAATACAGGTTGTCTTTGGAGCCACTTTTCCGCCATGATCTTACTTTTAACATCAAAGTATACTTCTTAAGTGTCACAATGTTTAGTTGTGCATGTTCACACTTACCTAAATCCTGTATTCGAGGATGATTCCAGGTTTGGCCAGGGATGAGTCAATCTTACTGTGTTGATCAGTGTTTAATCCCCAGGTACACACACACACATTATGCAGGAATTAAGGATAAGTCTAAGTCAATAACAATGCCACTTGCATTGCAGCCGCTTCTACGCATTCGATTGGATATGCGTAGAAGCACCTAACCCTTGTTTCTACATGTAGCACATTGAAATGAATACATCAACACATTCATTCTGAGGTTTTGTAAACAATACAATCATCAAGCCAACCTGCAGCCTCAAATGGCTTTTACACTTTCCTGTTGCCAGACATCAAGAAATTGACAGTTTTGCAACACAAAGGAGGCAGCACACAAAGAAGCAAAGATCCAAGTACAAATGTGTCTTGTTTTGAGAAACACTAGCGCTTATAGTAGCAACCATTAATTCACGTCAATTCTACCAAGGTATAATAACATATTTGCCAATGATGTATTGATATTTTAAAATGCTATGTGCAGCACATTTAAGTACCTCTCAGCAATAACTCCCTAAAAGAGCATCTCTCTGTTTCCCTCTATTTAATCTCCTCCTTCCTCCCCCTCCTCCTAGTGCCTTCTGCGATGTGTGGGTGTCATTAATCTGATGGTGGTGGAGTGGTACCCATTACAGTCGCACACCCTAAATCAATGACTGATATATGGAGGTGTATGTGTGGCAGAATATTGCGGTAAATAATACCGGCTGTTCTTCTGTCCTCCTCTTAACACTGCCTTTTGATTCCTCTCCACACATTGCTGATGATCTTACTCTGCAGGAGGGCCTAATGAGCTGCCGGGCCTCCATGAATAAAGAGAGGAAACACACATGTGCATGCACCCACATCCACAAAAGTGACTCAGACTGTTTGTTTTAAAGAGGGAACAGTGTGATAAATCACAAATGCGAGTTAGGAGTAAATATTTGCATGTGCTAATTGGACTCATTAATGGCAAAGATATGAGAGGGGGTGGGGAGGGAAAAGAGATGAGTGACTACTTAAATATACACCACTGATCAGCTATCTAATTGGAGTTTTGTAATGCACATGCACACTCAGAAGCGTTTGTGCATTGGTGTGCTAGGCTCTGGGCGCAATGATTAATACCTTTCTCAGACACACACGCAGATGAAGCCACACACTCACATCCGTGCGAAGACTCTTCACAGAGCCCCCGTCTCCAAAGAGGCTTTCAAGTAAATTGAGTTTGGGTCTAGGGTCCTGTTTATATTAATTTGAGTCCACTGCCGGTTGAGTTAGACCCAGCGCTCTGTGTTATTACCTGCTTGATAATGAATGCCGGCTTGACTTGCAGCAGTCAATTGAGACCACCTCTCACTGCAGGTAATGCTGCATCATGCCACCGGCAGGAATAGATTACATGCAATCTCTCTAAATATTGAAAGAAATTGTGACACACCTAGTGGCCAAATGAACATTGACAATTACTATATACTAGGGTTGCGGTCTAATAGTCCATTTAGCTTAGGAACCTTCCTAACGGAGTGAAATGACCCGGAAGTACCTCAGTGGCAGCCATGATAAGAGCCGTTCGAATTCTCTAGGAAAGGAGGTTTCAAACTTCCTTTATACCTCCTTTAGCTTAGGAACCACTGGACCTCCCTTACCGAAAGGAGAGGAGAAAGTGCTGCCCCACAATGCCTTGCGGCCGCAGCATTTACCGTCNTTAATAATAAATCACAAAAAAAAAAAAAAGACCGAATCAAAGTTGGTTTTTATATCTGATTACGATTTATTATCATTATCATAATTATTAACATTTACCGGTAACCAGTGTGGTGGTCAAAAAAAATGACTTTTGAACCTCCTTCGGACCGCACCGTCTCGTCTGACGACGACGTCCGTGCGATGTGTGGCTGGGGCGGCGGTGGGGGGAGAGGGAGTGTGCACGCTGATTTCTACTTATTTTCGCGCGGTCCCATTTTTCTCAAGGAGGAGCACCTTGATGAAGCTTGAATGTTTTCAGGTTTCCTTCTGCCAGTAAGTGTCGAGTTGGAGTTGTTACGCAAGCGTAAACTCACCGCTTCGTGCGGTTTCTCCAATGTCTCTTTCTGCGGTCTCGCCGACGACGCGTTTCGCGTAGAGAGGTTATTTCCGTTACCGTCCGGTGAAAGCTTTTATTGTTTTTTTATTGGTTTTGGTACAAGGTCATTTATTTTTTGTTGCCTTAAGGAAAACAGACTCAAAAAATAAAAAGAGAGGGCGCCACCCCCCGGTCCCGACGGCTTATTAGCTAAAACTAGTACCAGTCAAAGACGTTGGGGATTCTATTATATTATATTTTTTCTTCACAAATGGATTGTGTTAGAGCACACTTATACTTGACTTTGACAATCCTACAACAAATGTCATGTATATCGTTGTGAAAGTGTCCCTATAAATAAAATCGATTTTTAAAAATAATATTCGATTATGGAGACTGTAACGAATATTCGAATAATCGAATAATCACTGGCATCCCTATTATATACATGTCTTTGTTTTTTCCTTACATCAAGCGATCTCTGCCCTGACTGGTTACAGACATTTTTAGATTTGTGTGTACAGTTTATTGTGGCATTTATTTGAATGACAGTTACAAGTATTTATGCAAAATAAGCTTGCACAACTCAAATGTCTTAAGAGCACCAAAAGACAGATGGATTTAAATGGAACTTGCTACAGACATTAATGGTGCCCATAGGATGAAGTCACAGTGACAGTTTTCAACATTTACCAGATGTTTGGGAACTTAACATTGCTCAGAGAATCATAGATGCCCAAATACTTTTTGTATTTCTCTGTGTTTTCTTTCCTCCAGGGTAATTCACTGTGACCTCAAACCATGGCCTACACTCTAGGCTCGACCACTGAGGGGCAGACGCGCAGTGTCGGACCCCAGCACTGTGTCACTCGGGTGGAGCTGTCCGTCACCGCAAACAGCCTGCTGGACCGAGATGTAGCCTCCAAGTCGGACCCGTTCTGTGTTCTCTTCCATGAGGTGGATGGAAACTGGATGGAGGTAAGGATGGAGGAATGATGTGATAGGGGTGAAACTGTCAATTGGCGAGAGAAGTGGGTGAGGAAGTAAGGGATTAAGGGTGAAGAATGAAGAAAATAAAGAATGTTTTGTCTTCTTAAAACAGGTGGAGCAATCAGCGTGGGATGAAAATGGCAGAATGAGGATAACAGGCTAACAAAGAGACAATACATGAATGTTCGGATCCTAGGGAGTCAAACTCATATCTGGTGCTTATCCATGCTGTGCGTTTCCACTACAGCGAGGTGGATATAAGAGGGTAAAAGGGAACCAGAAATAAAAAGAGGACTGAAGGGAGGATGGAACATTGTAAGTGTTTGTAGTGCTTTCAGGGTCACATCCGCCGTTGCTGGCTCTTCTAGCAGAGAAGTAGAGGATTTAGTTTGTTGTCTATGTTGCTCCACAGACGGTATATGTTGTGAGCCAGAACCAAACTCTGATGTCTTGACCATCTGGCATGAGCCTCGGCCTGCTGAGCCCAGTAGGATGGTGTAACATTTCTTCCAACGTGGGTCTGGTACTGTAGTGTGTTTAAAAGGCGCTATTGGGGCTGCCAATTTAATGAGATTCCACAAGTAGGTTCCATGCAATCATTACACTTGTTTGATCAAGCTACAGATTAGATGCATTGCTTTAACAGTTGCCAACATGTTTTAAAATAAGAAAAGGTTTCAGGCTTTCAATATAATGTCAACCTTGTTCGTAAATGTATGGGCCAGATTATTCATATTTCTGACTGACTGAAAAAGGTTAAATGGTTATTGGTTTTTCAGCTTTTACTGTGTGTTATAGTTTGCCTGTTCCAATCACAACTGGGTTCTATAAATGATTGAATTCCTATCAAAATGCAACGCTTTGTTGATGATCAAAAGTCAAACATTGTGTGGATAACAACATATTTTCTCTCAATATAGGCCTGAATATTCCGTTAGGACAGTGTGTTATTGGTTAACTGTTTGCCAACTGGCTAGGACCACTTCATGTGGAGATGCGAGTCCTCTCCTTTTCTGCTTCTGCTGTTGCTGCCTTAGTCCAAAGACATGCAGGTTAAAGGCTCAGTCACGCCAGGATTGGAAGCATTGACATTTCACGCCAAAATCAATTCATTCCAATAAATTAGTGGATCCCCTTGAGGAGGTGAAATCGACTGAGACAATGTTCCACATAGAGAGTTCAACTTTCAGCATTCACGCTGAGCAAGCTGGAATGTTTGAAATGGAGGAAGCTATCTTAGCTTATGTGCTGTGTAGCACCATTAGCTTTTATTCAACCTTCTCTATCTCCTCTCCTAGAGCTGTTGTGTCTGACTAGCCCTTGCCTGGTTGCACTGGCTTTTAATAGTTAGCCGATGTGAGGGTACAAGGGCAGAGGGTGTTGGGTGTCATATTCTGTACAAACTGTAAAGTCCACTGAGAAATATGTAACATTTCATAAAAATATACTTTGATTGATTGATTGGACGCTCTACCCAGGCGTCATCCTTCGCCCTGAACCAAACCTAATATCTTCAGTAAGTGAGAATGGTTATTCACAGTCAACTCCTAGTTGTGTGAAAGGCAAACATTCCGGGCAATATCCAGACCTGATTCTCAGGGTATTGTGCAGAGATATGGGACGGCTTATGTCACCATTTTCCAGGACCACTTGTTCTGCTCAGACAAGCAAATGTGTCTTGGTGCTGCATCAATCAGCGGTTCAGTTGAGTCCAGGCACTTTTTGTTATTTTTCTTGTGTGGGTAAATTCTCCTCAGCTTTAATTCTGCAGACAACATGTGATATGAATGTATCTTGTCATGATGTATACAAAAATAAGCACTGAGTTGAAGCAAGACATGAAGAAGTTTTGGTGCGTGTAGGCTGCTGCCTCAATGTTATTTTGTAGCAGCTGGTCAACAGGGCGAACTGGCTTTCTTTGTATGTGTTTGCCTGTGTATGCCTGTGTGTCTGTTTGTATGTGTGTTTGTGTGTGTGTGTGTGTGTGTGTGTTTGTGTGTGTGTGTGTGTGTGTGTGTGTGTGTGTGTGTGTGTGTGTGCGTGTGTGCGTGCGTGCGTGCGTGCGTGCGTGCGTGTGTGTGTGTAGGCGAGTGCTGCGGGTTGTAGATCGCTGTCGGTCAGCGGGGCATGTGGCTCCGATGTGAAATTGCCAACGGTTACTATGGCAACGGAAAGGGAAACAAAGGCTTTGTGATCCTGGAGTGAGCGAACGATGGATGAAGTGAAATCAGACCCAATCCTTTTCTGTCACACTTTCTCACTTTCTATGATCACCTTCCTGTTAGCTTTGTTTTCTATCTGCGATTGTCTTTCTCATATAATGTCACCAGTCCTCCCCTGTCTGTCTCTCTCTGTCTCACTTTCTGTCTATCTTCGTCTGCCTTGTAAGAAAGAGGTGTGAGAAGCAGCTGGGTCGTTCAGGGGAAGAAGAAAAAAAGAGAGGGTACGACGGGGTAAGAGTGTGAGAGCAAGGAGGTGTGAGAGATGGAGATGAGAAAACGGTGGAGGGAAAGAGAGGGTGAGTGGAAAATTAGCGAGAGAAAGAGAAGATTGCGGCGGAGAAGACGAGAAGAGAACGTAAATGAGCGTCATATAGAAAAATAAGTCTGGGCAGGAGAATGATGGAAACCATGATTTAGCATTATGATGACTGCAAAAACTGCCGTTAAAGAGGTTACACATAATTAGCCTACAGAAATATGGATCTAAGCTATGTACATATGTGGCACCAGACTTGAAGGCAGCTTTGACTATTTTCTAAATTCCTTTTGACACTTTTTACTCTCAGAACTGTAAATCCTCACACTGATCGTAAAATGTGTTATGGACACATATAGCCTGTAACACTACAAGTGAGAGCCCACGTTCAATGTGATGCTTATCCAAGTTGAGTAGGCATGCTAAAATAATTTGGTTTCAAATTAAATCTTTAATGCAGTCTTGTATTTTCATGTGCTGGATCAATCTTTGAACTAAACCGTGTTTTAATTTTAATTATATTTGCGCTTTTTTATACTCTGTAAACATAATATTCAAACAAAGTTGGACTGGTCAATAACACCTTCATATTGTATGTATTATTTGTATATAAGCAGAAAAGGCCTATTCAAGTTTGCCTGTTTTGTTGGCTTATTTTTTTACATGTACGGATGAAAAAGGGTAGGAAATAGATGAAGTGCCACAAGGGTCTGAATCATTTTCGTAGTCCAGTGAGCCAGGTTTAAGTCTACAGTGGCACAAATATGAGACACACACTTGAGCCTCCCGGGCTGCCATGATTCCCCACCAATATCAGGTTTTAAGCCACACGAAGTGCACCCATACTCCTCTCTGCTCTCTTCCCCTGCATCATCCAGAGAGATAAGTGCTGTAAGCACTCTTAGCAGGCTGAAGTTAAAAACCTTTTCCCCACGAAGTAGGTCTGCAGCATTTCAGCATGTCTTTTCAGCGGGTCTTTAGTAATAAGAGTTTTTACAGTCAGAGAAACACAAGATAGTTTAGATAAAAGCATTCATAATAATGATATGTAAAATTACTGAACAAGTTATAGATAATGAAAATACATTCCTCATTTTCCTTAAATAAATAATATAAAACAAAAATAATACATATATTTCTGTTGGGCTGAGCGACAGGACTGAAACTGTATGCAAACACTGACAGGAAACAGGAGCTGAGTAGTAGTGAGCTTTATTAAGCAAATGTGGGCAAGGAAGAGGTTTCAGGGACAGGTCTAGGCAACCTGGGGAATCCAGGAAGTGAGGGCCAAGGAAAAAAACAGGCACCGAGGACCAGGAAGAGCGAGCCAGAAGTTGTGGAGCAGACAGAAGGCACAATGAAGCAGGGGAGCAGGCTGAGCGTAGCAGGCAGAGAGGCAGGAAGGTGGACCTGAACAGGAGACACAGGTTTAGTCGTTTGGGACCTCCTTGAAAACGAGATGGTGCATCTCAAGGGGTTTATCCTAATAAATAAATATCTAACTAGTACACGCAAAAAACCATAAGAGTCCAGCTGGTCGAAAACATTACCATTCGTAGATACATGACGAACTGGCAGAAATTGGAGGTGAGGACTGGGGTTTTATACTGAGTTAGGTGATAGGTGGCAATTAGAGAAGGAGCAGCTGAGTGAGTGCAGAGGTGGGAATGAGAAAGTAGGTCAGCCACGCCCAGCCAGGGAGACAGACACACAGAGAGACAGACAGGGGACAAACACAGAGAAGACAGTCAGGGGACAAAAACAGCAAACATGAGGCAGTACTTTGTATCCTAACAATTTCCTTTAACATTTTTACTTTGAGACCTTTTCCAGAGTTCCGGCTAATCAAGAAATGAATAAAGGTAGCAGGAGAGCATACAGCTAGCAGCTGTAATTTTAAGCATGCAGGCCCTAAATTATACATACCTGTTTGTCCAAATATAATTTAAATTGGTAAGTTGTACGATCCACGCACAGTTGTCACGAATGGGAGGCAGATTTTAACATGGTTGCTTATGAAGATTGCCTCGCGTTTGGAGTTAGACTCAAGTGGCCTTTCGGGGAACTGCTGTTTTTGGCACTACACTATAGTTTTTCGTTTTTCAACCGTTGTTGCTCTCCTAAACCAGAAGTACACCTGAGGACAATGGGAATGTCATTAGCTTTGCAGGTATTTTGACATTAAACAACATTCTGGATTCAAAAAGTAATCTTAAAGTTCAGTAGATTGCAGTAATAATAATAACAATAATGCATTTTATTTATATAGGTGCCTTTCAAGCAGGGCCGTTTCTTCCTATAGGCAGACTATGCAGATGCATAGGGCCCCCGCGGCCACTATGATCCAAAAAACAAAAAAAGGATAATTCATACACACAAAGATGAACAAAATTAGTAGAAGCGGGAGGGCTGAAGCATAGCTTATGGAAAGTAGCCCTCCCGTGCATCATCCTAATACAACATCGGCATTATTGCGTCAAAAACGTATAGAAATGAAGGACTACAAAGAAATAAAGAAAACAGGAAAAAAAATGTAATAAAAGTTAGGGCAGGAAAACAATAAATGCATATATATATGTATACAGTATATATATAAACGAAAACTAGATATAGGGTCATTTTCTGCACATGTCAATAGCAGTTTCAACTATCTTTTTTTGGAAATGAAAATACTATATATAAATATATACAT